GGATCTATAAATAAATTATTGCAAGGCTTCGCTAACAGTTAAAATACAAGAGACTTTTATAATTAGATAGGTCCAAACTTGTCCCTTCCCGTTCCAAAGGAACGAAAAGAATGGGACAAAATAACCAATAGAGATACTTTTCTCTGTCCCGCTCTATGTTTCTCTCTCCATTTTACAAGATAAGGTTGCACTAATTTCAAACACTTGCATATGCAATCTGCTCATAACTGTAATGGTATTAACAATAAAATCAGAACCCAAGGTTTGGTTACTACTTCTCTGACCTCCTATCGGACTCTTAAAACTGAAAATCCCAAAGCTTTGATAAATTGTCAACATCTTAAAGAGTTCCTTTTACAAATCCATGAACTCAGTTTAGACCATTCGATCAATTCATAGAATCTCAATTTTCTTCTCTAGCCCATGTTTGATCCCATCATTTCTAGAATATATTTTCCTCTCTTCTTCTCAACCACACATTCTTCAATAAAATAATATTACAAGCAAACTCAACACTTTTTTTTTTTTTTAGTTTTAACCACATTTTCCAGCAATCTACAATTCCAAAATGCATTCTTAGCCAAAAATGGGGATCAAATAGGAACCTAATGAAAAATGAAATGTTGATATCCATGGCAGTAAAAGTCATAAAAAAAGCATAATTGCATGAAAATTGTGTATAAATAGAAACACTGTTGCAAGTTATAGTTATAAGTCAAGGAGTTTTCACATCAGATTCTAATACACGTACACATATACAAAGACTCAGTAAGAGAAATTGCTGAAGATGGATCACCGCCCTAATAACAAGTAAAAGTGATTTATCTTTTATAAAATTGCAAATCGTGCACTTTCTGAATCTCAATTCAAAATTAGAATAGGGGCTTGTTTGAGCCACATTATTTTCAAAAAAATATATTTTTCAACTGTGATTTGACATCATTTCAACCATACATTCTTTAATAAAATAATATTATATGTAAATCTAAAATTTTTACTTATTTTTTAACCACACATTTCCCATTGATTTGACATGAATAATACATTTTTTTCTTAGAATGTGGCTCAAACATGGGCTAGGTTGAATGAAAGAAAGTATATAAAGTAGAAAACAGATCGTAAATCATAGGGACTGCCGTGAGAATTCATGGAGATTACTTAAGTGACAGCCTAGAGAATTTCAAGATGGATGAACACCTCAGTAGACCGAGTTGAAGGTGATGTTTCTCCTAACCCAATGATAAATGCATTTAGATCAAGCCATAGCCTAGTTATTATTTAATAGATGATAATAATATGATCTAGTTCGTCATTTTCAAAAGATGAAACTGTCGATAATTGTGATAACTATGTGTTTTTCATAGGTTGATAGTTTCAATAGCAATGGTAAAAATTTCCATGACATACAATACCACATTAAATCAGTCCAAACAAAACCCATTGGACCAGCAAAATCAACCAATACACTTTAATCATTAACATCATTAGGGCCCCAGTATGAGATATGGCAAATATTTCAATAGTGATTTGCCCTCACCAAATGCAATTCAATATGATTTCATTAAATTAATGAAAGATGCCAAAATATCAAACTTCACAATTTTGTATTCTTCTGTTAGTTGTATTTTTTTTTTTCCTTCGGATAGAAATTGGATTAGTTTTTATCAGAATAGAAAAAGTTTACTCGATTTTTCTTTTGAGGTTAAAAAGGTTTTTTTCTTTTTTTTTTTCCCCTGATGAGATTTAAAAAACAAACAATGAACGGAGGGGTTTCCAGCATAAAAAGTTCCAATTTTGTTCCTAAATAGCAAAAACAAGAAATCATCAATAATATTAATAAGCCGAAATTTTGAAAATCCAAAACTTTCACAATTTTCCTCAAAAAAGAAAGAAAATAGAAAAATCGCTAAAAAGATTAGCATTAACAAGAAACAAAAGATTCCATACCGTATGTTTTCATCAATTAGCAATATCTGGAGCAACAAAATTGACTAAAACTACACAAAGAGAAAAGTGCAATACCCAGGATCTAAAACCAGGTAAAAAAAAAAAAATCTCAGTAATCCAGTACAATACATAAAATCGCCCAAAAATATCCGTACTATGCAAATATGAGAAGCAGAAAAGAAACATACCTGGGTAAAAATAGAATCTAGCGCGATAGAGAGAATTGTGGGTTTTCTTTAGAGTGAAAGAACCGGGAGCAGAAAAAGAATGAAACAGAAAATCGAGAATGAATTGATGAAACGAATATGTAATTTGGAATATATAAAAACAAAGCGCGCTTTAAGTAATGGCTGTTGACACGTGAGAGGCGGTGGGGTAACGGGTGTGGACTAAGACGCCTCCGACAAACACTCACTGCTACTTAAATAAATATTATCATATTGGTGAATTTATTAATTAATGAGTTTGACCAATGTCAAATGATTGGTGTACAGTGAACTCCACGTGAATAAACAATTTCAAAAAATTAACCCCGTACCCTCCATGTGAGGCATGGGTAGGGGCTCACACCAATCATAACTCTTGACCAATAAATTTTTCAAGCCAGCTCTGTCTACAGAAGAATTCTGTCAGATTATACTCGGCGGAACTGCTTCTGTACCAACAAATAAATTCTAAACGTTTTAACAATTAATAAAAAAAATTATTTCAAATTCAATTAAAAAAAGTTGAACCTCAACCTTAAGAGCCCTCACCGTCCCCCCTCTAGAGATTTGTGAGGGAGTTAAATCTCGAGATACGTTTCAATAAGTCAAGAAATAAAAATTGTTTGTACACCGTGCCTACAAAAAGTTCAATTTCATGTGTCAGGAATAGAACACGTACACTGCGACTGTCAGCAAGGCGTAAGATAACCTCACTCCTATCTTTTACACCACTAGACTATACCTTGCGACTATTTCAAATTCAATTAAAAAAGGTTGAACCCCAACCTTAAGGGCCCCCACCGACCCTACCCTGAGCCATCGTGGAGAAGGTAAATCCCAGGATGTGCCTTCTAGGAGCCAGGGTGGAGAGCACATGGATAGGCCAAGGCTGTTAACCCATATGGTAACTATCGCTTGCAACAAAACCAATTCCACCTTGCGGGGAATCGAACTCTGCACACTGTCGCGCTGAGCCCTATTCGCCCTCCCCTTTGCCACTGAAAGATATGCCCTGGGGCTATTTCAAATTCAATTAAGCACCTATTTGGGATTGATTAAGTGCAAATTTTTATGAAAATTCTTACCGTTTAGAATTTCAAAAAAGGCAGTTGTGGACCACATTTTATAAAATTACCAATGTACCCTCTAATATTTTAAACTTGCCCGACAATGAAGGGCATAAATGATAATTAATGGTAATAAAATCAATTGTCGGAGAAATATTAATTGCTCCCAGACAAGGGTTAAATTCCTTCCACAACCTACGAATTTTAGCTCATTTAGTTTAGTGAGAGTTTATAGTCACAAATGATTTATTTTTTTCCTTGTTCGATGGCTCGACTTTAATATCAAACAAATTGGGCGTTGGAAGATGAAAACAAAGGGTTAATTGAAGTGATTTTCTCAAAGAGAAATGCTACACTTACAGGGTATGTAAAAAGTGATTTTCTCAAAGAGAAATGCTACATTTACAGGAATCTGTTTTACAGACCCCTGCAAGATCTCTCACATGTGCAGGCCTGCAGGCCTCGGCATTATTTATTTATTTTGTTTTTTTTTATGTGGGACCGACCCCTACAATGAAGGGTCGGTAAAACATATGTACGAAATTGTTCTGTACACAGCAATTTCCTTTCTCAAAACATTTTTATGTTAATCAATGTTCACATCATTATTGACCTACTAAGAAGAGCTAAAAAGTGAACGCTATTGAGAACTTTTACTGATAATTAAAGCGATTCTATCAACAAAGTTGAATAATCAAAACCAAAACCAAAACCAAAACCAAAACCAAGAAAAATAAATTGACACTCCACACCGTCTTATTACAGTGTGCTGTGAACACGAAAATAATCCTTTGACAAATGTAACATCCAACAGTATATGCAGTCCGTGAATGATCGACTGCTTCTGGAAGCTTCTGGGCCTACATAATTAACAATCACAAAAATGTTAATAATGAATTAAAGTATTTTCAGGGGTCGTGCTTTTATATTCACAGTCAATTTAAAGTTAGATGTTTCGACGACCAAGGTAGCTAGCATAATAAAATTTGCTGCCCTTAACATTCTATTGGATTCAGCCATCCATATAAAAACTCAAGTTTGTTACATGCATACTAATTGACTAGGACACAACGCGCCATGGTTACAAAGGTTCGACTTCTACGGATTGCTAAAGGCAACTCAGGCTAACATTTTCAGCTCTACAAAGCTCAAATCCATGTAAATCCATTTCCAGAAAATAACGTGCAACTCAGACCATGTAGAGAAAAATCATAGAAGCCAATAACACAATAATTGAAATTTTATAGAACTAAGATTATCTTAAAGAGAATATGAAATACATTGTAACAGATGATACACGAGTATGGTCAATGTACAAGAACAGAAGTAACAAATAAAAGAGACAGCTTTAAGCATATTTATGTACTAACCAATCTACAAGAACTTTTCTAAGGAGGTTGTCAATGTTGATTCTGGAACAGCACCGACGACTGCATCTTTCTTCTCTCCTTTCTTGAAAACGATAACGGTTGGAATGCTTCGAATCCCATACTGGGTTGCAATTGAAGGGCTCTCATCTGTGTTAACCTTGCAGCAATTAAGCTTCCCAGCATATTGCTTTGCCAATTTATCAATGAGTGGGTGCATCATACGGCAAGGCCCGCACCATGGTGCCCAAAATTCAACTAGAACAGGCAATTCACTCTCAAGTACAAGAGACTTCCATGTAGCATCAGTAACTCCAGCAACTGTAATTTTTCAAGGAAAGTGAAACTGATATTATCACTCTACTATTATTATGGCTAAAGTTTTAGTGTGAGCAAAGTTTTAGTGTGAGCAAGGTTCTCTCGGCCTAGCACACACTTTCCGTATAGGCACAGCTTGGTGCAGTATAGTTTCTGCTCTGCCTTGAGCCAACAGATTCAGGTATATGGATTTTGTTGGACCAAAACTAGTAGGCCTCCATTGGCCCATTAGCTTTGAAAAAACTTCTGTTAAGAAATATTTTCACTCCATTTATATTTTGTAAATTTCCATTTTACTTTAACTCTCTAAACTCATATAATCACTAATTCAAATAATAGATAAACAAATATGTATTAACCAAATTTGGATATACTATTACAGTAGTCATATGTCGCACAATAGATGTAAAACTTCACTGTAATCTAAAATTTCCAAATATTAATTTTACATTTTCTCAATTAATTATATTTAATCTCATTTCAACAAAAATTTGATAACATATAAATTATTATATGAGAAATAAACACATTGATTTTCAACAATATTCATTCTTTTAACAACAAAAAATTTAATAACATTTAAACTCATATATGAGAAATAAACACATTAATTTTCAATAATAATTATTCTTTTAACTATAAGACCAATTTGGTAGGTTCCAAAATTAGATGGGCATGAAAGCTGTATTGGGCCATGAATAAACTGTTCATGTGTCACAATATGCTTTGAATGTTTGGCACGCTAAGCCTGGAACACGACTTAGATGGGCTGAAGAAAGGCAGGCCATGACAAACTTTGCACCTCTAATAATAATACAGATATAACTAGCGTGAAATGTTAAAGATGCAATTCTAATGTCACAAAGAATGCATTACAAACAATGGCACAAATCAAACCATGTTGTATCTCATATTGATGGCACAAATTAAACTAGAGCATTGAAACAATGGTACAAATCAAACCATGTTGTACCTCACGTTGATGTCACAAAGAATGCATTACAAACAACGGCACAAATTAAACTAGAGCATTGAAATGCGACTGCATATTGTGCATGTTTCATTATTTATTGATTTATCATTATCGAGCTTTGTCTTGGATATCAGGAATAGAGAAAAAACCCCAATTTTATGTTCTATGAATCATAGCCGAAACTACTTTGCGTTACCACCATTTGTCAAAATGATGAGTTGACTTGTTAGTATAGCTCATAAAACCTGTGCATAAAATCAAGAGGACTATTTCATAAGAGATCACCATTGGGACTTCTAATTAGAGGGGAAAAAGTGAATGAACGCACTAATAAAAGTTTACAAAAGAGTAAGCAAACTAAAAGGTCCATGTTGGTTGGGAAATTGAAGAAAGGCCTAGTTTCTGAAAGAAAATGGCTTCGTCTGTTGTTAGCAATTTGATAACTCAAAATAACCTTATAACTGTTAAATGTCTTTAACTCTCGTAATCTAGAAAACAGGAATTCTAGCTACTTGATCAATTGCAGCAACTCTTCATTGGCTCAGCAACAATGGTCGTGGTTATGGATCAAAGTACCAAAGAGAGAGAGAGACTCGAGCTTTGGGGACAGTAGTGTCGTTTGTCTAAGTTACACAGAAAGAGAGCGTTCTAGTGATAAGGACAAGCTTGGTGAGTTTATTTGAGTTGGGGGAGAGTTCTAGTTTTGAGGACAAAAGTGTGGTACATGAGCATGAACCAGAGAAACTACGTTGATGTTATGGGAGGACCAGAGCAAGTAGGCCCGAGTGAACTGGTACCGAGGAGAATTATGTTTTAGGAATGTTGTTGCCTGTCGACTTAATGAATTGTTTTTGCTTATCGTCCTAATGAATTTTTTTGGGTTATTGTTCACTGGATCGAGAAACAGATAGAAGATATGAATGGGGAGAGGATTTCCTGATATGGTAATAACAAATTTAACTGTGAACCAAGACGAATATCAGTATATCACTATTGTGCGTTGACAAATTGACTAATAATTAGTAGATTATTTTATATTGTACAGAAATGGAATTTTAAAAGCCGTCGTCAATTAAACTCCTATTCCAGCAAAATTACTAAAATTGATTCATGCGCTATGAACATTTTTACGTATAAATTTAATTTCCAATTATTATTAAAAACCCATATTCAACAGATAAAAAAGAGAGAAAAAAAGAAGAGAAGAAAAGAATTTCAGACCTTCAAATGCTGTTTCCTGAGCTTCACAAACGATTCGACTTCCACGGCGAGCAAATTTACAAGTAGAACTCACAGGTGCGACACGTTGATTTTGCTGGATCTTGAGGCCTCTGAACTGAGAGAATCTGATCGAGCTGCAGCGAGAAATGGAGGCTCCGGCGACAGGGTTCAAGGAAGCAGAAGGGACAACGGAGGCGCGTGGTACGATTAGAGTTTCTAAGACAACAGCCATTGCAAAACTCACAAACTATAAACTCAAATCAAAAAGGAGATGAAAATAAAGCCAAAGAGCGTTTGTGCGTGTGTGTGCAGATTTGTGGTGGAGTATGGCTTTTTGGTAATGGGATTTTTTTTTTGGAGATTACTGATGAATGGAGGAGGAATTCTACAGCAAAATTTGTGGATCACGTGCTGCTTGCTTGGAGTTTCAAATGAGTTTGGTACATTCGCGCAAGGATGTCAAAATGAATACAGTCCTTTTGTTTTTTGTTTTTACTTTCTTATAGAAAACTTTTTTTAAAAAAAAAATTTACCTTACTTTTTGCTTAGAAATATTTTAAAAGAGCTCATATTAGACCAACTTTTTCTAACAAAAAAAAAAGTACTTTTCAAAATATTGACCGACCAAATCCAAAAACAATTTTCGAATTTCAAAAATATTTTTGACTTTTCAAAAGTCAAGCCAAACGAGCCTTATGTCTGGTACTCGTCTCGCTTTCACCTTTGTCATATCTCTTCAAAATTAAACTTTACACCTTTATCTCGTACATTTTTGTGTGATAATTGCAATTGTACGATGTCAATTAAACAAGAAGTGAACATAAAGAGTTTGAATTATCATTCCCAAAATAATTATGTAGATAACCACTATATCAATTAGTAACAAGCCCAAAAAGTATCATCTAATTTTCTCAAGTTTATCACAACCTCAATCTCAAATATTGAAACCTTCTGCACGGAGGCATCTTTTGTGTGCCTCGATCCATTTTTCACAAGCTGATTCACCATGCTCCACAGTGCACTCGTCTCTCAACTTCTTAGCGTCGGGGCAAGCACAACAGATCTTCTTCTTCGGCTTTGAATCAGAGGCAAGAGCCACAGTGTCTAAGCCTTGGTCATTCTGCAATTGTAAAGAGACAACAGAAGAAGAGTTCTTTTATTGGCAATCGATCCATTGTCAAGGTCCCTAGATGATATAGAATATCAGTTACTTCTACTATACAAAAGAATAGAGAATAATGAATAAAATTTAAATAAAGGCCAGTACAGAATGGAAGGGCAAACACCCGACAAAAATTTAGAATCAACACGCAAAAGAACATGAAATACTTGACTAAAAAGAAGGGCCAAGAGATAGTAGTAATACACCAAGCCCCCAATGACAATATCAGCACCAAGTGAAAATTATCAAAAGATCATCTCTTTTAGATATGTATAAATCAAGCTTTTGGATACTCTGAACTACCGGAGTCTTTTAGCTGATTGTGGCTTGTCCATGAACAAAGATGATGGTTGCCAAATTTATGTAGTATGTAATCAAAATTAAGGCTCAATATAGTTCGTGAGCCTCTGATGACAAGAAAAGGAATGATACCAAGAGTGATAGTGTGTTTAAAATAAAATCTGCACAGAAAACTGCTGTACTTTCCTTAGGGGAGCCCAAGTTTCTGAAATTTTGATTATATTGTGGATGTGCGAAAAGACTTGAAGAGAGATTTAGAGAACCAGCAGCGACGGAATTGATTAGGAAGAAAATGAGAGCACAATGATAGAGATTTAAATCAATTGTCAAAAACATACATTTATTTTATGTATAACAATTCGCAATAGATCCTGAATTATGTTCCTGTCATAATTATTAATTTTATATTTCTCTTAGACGAGGGACAGGTAAACTAAAACTCACATGGCATGTTGTGATGACTAGGGATCTAGGTGCTTTGGATCTTCCTCTCCCCCTTGTTATGAAGCACAAACACTCCTGGCATGTCCGTCTTAGAAATTATTTACACTGTAACATCTTTGCATGGTTATGGTGAAGTTGTTCTTTATGTATGCCAAGGGACCACCAACAAATTTAAGTATAGGGATGACAGTACTTCTACCGACAAGCTGGTTGTTGGGAAAGATGAAGGAAACCTAGCTCTTCAAATAATTTAACCAAATTCCCAATCTCATTCACCAGGAAAGGTCATTAGTTTACTTACTATACTTGGATAGTAGACAAGAGTTTCGACACCTTGATGTCCAATATTGAAGGTTTACTAGCGAAAATAAGTGCTTTACGATTTGGCATAAATGATGGAGATTTCACTAAGTCTTGCCAAAAACTCACCACTTCAAGTGAATTGAGCATTAATTATATCATCTAATATTTGGTTAGGAGGCCTATGCCGAAAGTTTACGGACCCCACACAAGAGATAGAAAGTCAAACATGGTAGTTTGATGTTACAGATAGCGATCATATTTTTCATTTTAATGGGCAAATAATGAAAAACAAACGGGGGCTAAATTTGAAATAGAGATTGGCAGATTGGAGGTTCTGCTGCTGCTGCAGCAGATTAGACAATTGAGGGGAAAAATAAATAAACAGGGCTTAAAAATGTTGGGACACGTTGAAGTAGAACTAGAAAGATTGGAGACGGGGATATGAAAATTTCAATTGGTAACTTGGTTTCAAAATTTCAAGTATTCTGGTTATGATTTTTGGGAATTGGCTACTAAGTGGGTTCGGATTTTAGCATGTAAATTATGTGGAGGCAACTTTGAAAGATTGCATTTCAAAAATCATAAATATTGTTTATATATATAGAAGTCTTAAATATTAAATAATAATATTATAAAATTCAATTAATTAGATATCCACATCTTAACCATGGCCCTTGTTTGAGCCCCATTTTTTTGAGAAAGAATGTATTTTGAATAGTAAATTGATGGAGAATGTGTAGTTAAAAATTTAAGTAAAAGTTTTAGATTTCTATGTAATATTATTTTATTGAAAAATGTGTGGTTAAAAATAATTTTGGGGAATTTACACAAATGTCACTAAATTTGAAAATGCACAAAAAATTTTGTCTTACACAATTTTTTTGCAAAAATGTCATTTTTTCCTCACAAAATGTCCATCTTACCCTTTGACACTTTTTTGGGAGCAATAAATGTTTGATTTGAATGCAATTAATGGTGTGATGTGATTATTTATTTATCTTTATTGTCAATATTAAAGAAATGAAAATTATATTGTATAATATGTTTGATTAAAAAAATGGGTGGAATGTGTACAAAGAGCACACACAAGTAGGAGTTGAAATAGCTTCTTCTTCTTCATCATCCCCCTTCCATTAGCAACAAGGCATGAAGGAAAGCCATTGATCAATCTCAAATGTGAGGTAGTAGAAAAGAAATTTTTGCATGTCATACTTGACTACTTTAAATATTCAATAGAACATGGTCAAAATTAATTGTCAATTTTCATCTCCTATTCATTGATTTTTTTTTTTTTGGGTATATTTTAGAAAGGGAAGAAATACCAATATTCTCAACAAAATGTGAATCATTCCATATGTAATTCCATATTTAATGAAGTATTAAGTTATACTTTCTTTATGTGTGGGGAGATCAGTTGAAGTTGTAGTTGAGATTGATTATGACCATTAATGTATTGCAATAAATTCCTGAAACAGTAAAACACATGATTTTGTAGGTTCCTCGAAACTTATGCCATTCAAGTGTTGAGCAGTTTCGTAGAAACTGTCGGGTTAGACATTTGAACTGTCGAAATCGACATTTAGTAACTGTCGGGATGAACAAAGAATTCAATTGTCGATTTTGACACTTGAAAAGCTTTCTCTTTTTGGTACTACATGGATCAAAGTATTGTAATGTGCCAATTTGACTGTATTAAATCTTTCGACACATTAATGTGCAGAATTCTGACTTTTGTACTCCCAACATTTCAGGTATGACTCAAGATCTGAGATTCATCATATCGCATGGGGGAACTTTGTTCACGTGGATGACGAATGGAAGTGGAGAGGGGACGAAACGAATTCCATTTTAGCGCCAAGAAGCATTACCGTAGCAGAACTTGTATTAAGATTGAAGGAGAAACTTGGTATTGTTGAAACTTGCAATGAAATTGAGTTGAAGTTCAAAATCCCGAATTTGAATATACCTCTGGCAGAGATACGCGACGATGAGAACCTAAATTGGTACATATCTATTCATAAGGAGACTGCACTCTGCGTCACTATTATGGAAACCGAGGTCCCGAGTGTTGACATGGCGAGGGAAGCAAACTGTGTAGAGAACCGGTTTGGCCTAACAGAATGTCCCCAAACTTTAAGACATGGTGAGGTCAATCATGAGCACAGTGGGTCGAACAACGAAGCACCTGCACCTTCAATTGACCATATCGAGGCTGCAGCATCCGTTGAGCACTTAGAGAACCTGTTACATGGTACGACTGATGCTATTATTGCTAAAATTGACCAGCAATGTCATCACATTCCATGAGTTTGGGCACAAATGAGTGGATGATAGCCGTCGTTTTTTGCCGAAAAGCAAATATTCTTTAGCAAGAAACAATTGTACTCGAAGATTCGTGTGCTTGCTTTGCAAGAGAAGTTTCAATTTCGGGTGAGCAGGTCAAGCATGAAAATGTTAATCGTTGTATGTGTGGACGATAATTGCAAGTGGATACTACGTGCTTCTACTGTCAAGCAATCTGCAATCTTCATGATCCGTAAATTCATCAACGTGTACACATGTTCCCTTGATTTTTGTTGTAACGCACATCGGCATGTCACTAGTTCTGTAATCGCCGAGCACATTTTGGGTAAACTGGATACTCCAGGTCAATCGTATGACCCTACGGCTATTGCACGTGATATGGAACGTGAGTTCGGTGTGAAAATCAGTTACAACAAAGCTCATAGGGGAAAGCTTCATGCCTTAACTATGCTACACAGTACACCGGAAGCCAGTTTCCAGAAATTATCTTCATACTCCCATGTCGTAGGAGAGAGTAACCTGGGGATAGTAACCCACATAGAACTCAATTCTCAAAATAGATTTCATTACTTCTTCCTAGCTTTCGGTGCAAGCATTCGTGGTTACACACAGTACTTGATACTCGTTATTTGTGTTGATGGCAGTCATCTGAAGAGTCCATACAAAGGGACACTTCTACTGGCAATTGCCTAAGATGGTAACAAATAGATATATCCATTAGCATGGGGGATCGTGGATGCTGAAACCAATAAATCCTGGAAGTGGTTTATGTCCAACTTGAAAGAGCTTATAGGGGACTTCGAAGACCTTGTATTTGTTTCAGACAGAAAAAAGAGCATTGACAAAGCTATTACTCAGTTGTTTTCGTTGTCTCACCATTTTTGTTGTATCTGGCATCTCGAAAAGAACCTAATATAGTGGTACAGCAACGCAAGTCCAATACTTCTATTCAAACGAGCTACTACGACATATCGGGTTAAGGACTTTGAAAGACTCATGGGACAGATCCGTAGGGTTAGCGCAAGAGCGCACAGGTACTTAGAGCATGTGGGTTATTCATTTTGGTCCCGAGCACTATTTATTGGCCACCGTTACAACATTATGACGAACAACAACGCTGAGTCTCTAAACTCCATGTTGAGAGAAGCCCGTTCTTTACCGATAACCTACTTGGTTGAACACATTCGGAGTACTTTGCAGAAATGGCTTTATGAACGTCAAAAAAATGCGATCGAATGCAGTACAGTATTGACGTCGAGGATGGAAAACGAATTATGGATGACATTCGAAACTGGAACTAGGCTTCGAGCCCATTTGTTGACAAACAACTTAACTCAGGTTGGAATATCTAATGACGTGGACATAGTTGACTTTTTCCAAAACACCTGCACGTGTCGTGAGTTCCAACTAAACCGTATGCCATGTGCTCATGCAACTCGCGCTGTTTGCTTCAGAGGGAAGTCATTGTATGACCTTTGCTCCCCTTATTACACATCTGAATACTGGAGGGATGCCTATAACGAAGCTATATATCCTGTTGGACGTGAAGTGGACTGGGTTGTTCCCAGTTTAATTACATTTACTCCTATTTTGCCACCACTCGTACGTCGCCCTCCAGGTAGACCATCGATCCGACGTAAGCGTTCAAGACACGAGTCTGCATGGTTGAGCAGGAAATGCACTCGTTGTGGTCGTCTTGGTCATAATCGGAGACATGTTCAAACCCCAATGTATCATAAGTTCCTTAAACGTTGTTAGTGTAATCGACGTTGTATGTTCAATGTTCCGTAGTGCACTGTACCTTATGAAGTTATGTTATAAAGAGTGTGACAATTATCGTTTCTGGATGTTCGGTATCCTTCTATGCACATACGAATTTCTTTCCCGACTGTCTTGTTCATCACATACGTAACATCCTGACATGTGAAATGTCTATCCCGGTAGATGTGTTCTGGATTCCCGACAGTTGACGAATGTGTGCACAACACTCAAGATCAGTTTCGCGTACATGGCGAACTGAAGATTCTGTGAAAGGAAAACAACGTAATTGTAACATGCTTGAAACAAAGTCTTTAAACACATACAACTAACCCTCCAAGTGCACGGTCAATCATGTTAATTGTAAATTGGGACGTTGTCCTTTTCTTGTTGGGCTGCGCACATCACGAACCCCATTTAAAACATTTATGTTCAATATCCATGAAATATATTATAATTTGTAACATCGTCCTCCGCGGAGAGAAATAAGCTCTAGATAAACAGCATTTCATAACATCCACCAAACGTGGTGCAAAATATAGATGTAGGTTTATTTGTCGTTCCTGACAGATAGAAATCTGTAATTCTCGACAGTTCGACCGGATTGGACTATACACAAAATACACTATCCGGATTACGGCGAAAGGACATGTTCATGCAGACATTTTGGTTCTGTGTTAACCAAATGCGTCCCTACAAAAGAGTGGACTGTACACTACTTATTCACTA